GTAAACAGCTATATGTAGGCAGTGAAAAAGTGGTCAAATTTTGCAAAGTTATAAGAAAAGTGAATTTTTGTAAAGCACTTGAAATATTTTTTAACTACTAGTATATATCAAAACAAAGGTAAATCGATTACCATTCTTTTGATGATAATATTGTTAAAATCGATTAACTCCTTTATCGAAATTTTGCAACTTTCGAAAACATCTATATGTAAGAAGTGAAAAAGTCGTCAAACTTTGCAAAGTTGTAACAAAAATGGTTTTTTGTGAACTAGTTTAAATGATTTGCAAATGTTAATAAATATCAAAACAAAGGTTAATCGATTACCTTTCTTTTGATTATGATATTATTAAAATCGCTTAACTTTTTTATAGAAATTTTGCAACTTTTCAAAACAGCAAAGGATTAGTAGTAATAATAATCAATTAAGCAACCAGATATGTAGATATGTATTAAAAATTATCTTTATTATTAATGTTAATTATAATTTTTATTCATTATTTATTTATTTTGGAAATTGTAAATTAGGCTACATTGATTTGCTTATACTTCACTATTCTCTACCTATTACCGGGGTTTACACAGTACAAGTAATGCATTAAATTCTGCTTGCTAGTGGAAGAGAGGGGTTGAGAAGAAAAGGGAAGAGTACATTTAGCGTGCTTTTTTGCAACTCTTGTTTTTTTTCACTCCTACCTCAAAGGTTTGTGGAAAACACCTAAAGAAAAACTCCCTGAAAATTTGAACCCTTACTTACAACTTTGCAAAATTTTACAAGTTTGAGCTATACTTTGAAGGTGCTCCTAACGTTGAAGGTGCTGCGGGCGGAAGGTACTGATGCTGCTCATGGCAATGAAGGAGCTGAGGGCAGAAGGTACTGGTGGTGCTCCTGACGAGGAAGAAGCTAAGGGCAGAAGGTTCTGATGGTGCTCCTGGCGATGAAGATGCAAGCGTTGAAGGTGCTGATGGTGAATCCCAAATCTGGAAATAAACAAAAATATCAATTAAAATTTATAAACATATAAAAAGTCTCAATATATACCTCAAGAATGTGACTAAGTCGCTGCTGTTTTGCAATCTAAAAGAAGAAATTACATTATAATCAAATAAAATTTTAAGTACGTATTCTTACCTTCAAAATTTTCGCAAAGTGAATTTTCTTCACAGTATGTATACTGTCATCAAAACCCTGATGTTTCTAACTTGCTCGCTCTAACGCATAGAATTCTTATTAGAGTACGAATTCTTATCGGGTATGTAGCTCTAACAAAGGGAAATTTTTTTGACATGTCGAACAAAAAATTTGTAAGTGTGTGGGTGAGATGACTAAAGAGTTTTGAATGTGTTTGTAGATCGTTTGAATTTCAGAGGAAAGTGGTGAGCCGTGCCTGGCAGGGAAGTGCATACTAAGTAGTACATATAATAGGGGTCTTCATCATAAGTGATAAAGTGATAAATTTATCATTTTGATAAATGAACTGTCAAACTTTGCATGGAAATCTATTTAACCAAAGTGTATCACTTTATCAAACGATTTTGGTGGATAAATGTATAAATTTCAACAAAATTCAACCCTTACTGGTTGCCAGGAAACTACGAACACATAAAAGCAAATGATGGAAATGTATTAGACAAGGATTAGAGACAAGAGCCACTTAATAGTAGTAACAGTTTTTCTTTTTTGAATTTTGAATTGTGTCGTTATTGCACAGGGCCATCGATATGTACCTTTTCTCTGGAAGCGACAATGGATTGGAGCTATCCCGCAAACTTCGACGACGCCGAATCTCGGCTAAATGCTCTCTTTCGCTTTCGACTATTAAAACAGCGGCAGATCTTCGGAACATTTTCAATAGATTTGAATTTTTTTTGAAACGATATTAAATTCTCTATCGTGCAACTACTGACGTTAAATTAAAAATACATGGCTCTTCAAACTTTTACGTGAAGACAAATTTGAATTGAGTTGACGATATCGCACAGACGAGCGAGCGTTTTTCCGCTTTTATGAAGCAAGACAATCGTCAACACGATAACGTCGCACGATTATCGACATCCGTGATGCATACCCTGTCTTTCTTTCTCCCAGCTGGGACACCTATTTTTATTGAACGATAAATGGTCATTACTATCGCATAAAATGCACTTTCAACTATGTTCACATATCTATATTATCTCAATCAAAGCTCGTTTTTTAATCACCCCGTTTACACAGGCAAATCTCAGATTATTAGCCGTCAAATTTGTTGTGCTTGTTATTTTCACATCTCCAGGAAAAGTTATTTTTCTTCTCTGTGCCACCGTGATCACGTTTTTCTGCTATATTAAGCAATATAAATATATTTTAAATTAACATTTTATTAAAAAATACCTTTAAAACCCTCTTTTCCTTGCTAGTGTCCATTTCTGTTTACTTTTACATTTGCCATTTCTCCTCTTCTTCGCAAAAACAATCGATAAAACTAGGATGGACACCTAAAAGTTATCGGTTAAATCTGAGATTATTTTATAATTACAGATTAGATTACAGATTAGGAAGTTAAGCTCGAAAATGAGGATAATCTACTTATATGTGAACTTAGTAATAGGGTTAGTACTATTGNTCATGATCTCAATGACCTGTCTTTCTTTCTCCCAGCTGGGACACCTATTTTTATTGAACGATAAATGGTCATTACTACCACATAAAATGCACTTAGGGTTAGTACTATTGCATTTTTCCTGACAAGATTCCTCCTTGCCACAGACTATGCACCGGTTCTTTGACCTGCAAGAAAGTTTCGTATGGCCGAGACGCCCACACTTAAAACATTGCTTGGCCCTGGGAAAGAAATGATTCACCCTAAACCCGACACAGAAAATTCTGACCGACTCCGGTATAACATTTCCTTCAAAGCCAATTTTTAACGAAAAAGTAGGAACAAAATTCTCCTTGTTGTTTGGATCTCTCCTAGTTATTCTAGACACCGATAACACCGGAACTTCCGACTGAATGTTGTTAAATATTTCACTTTCTAGAAAGTCAAGAGGTACCTGTCTGATCACTCCATAGGTCTCAAAAAAGNCCGGAATATCCGACTGAATGTTGTTAAATATTTCACTTTCTAGAAAGTCAAGAGGTACCTGTCTAATCACACCATAGGTCTCAAAAAAACTTTTGGGAATAAAGACTCTAATTCCCATATTCTTGAGGTCATTGTTAGTCAGACTTGCGTTTGCATCTTTAACCGAATAAAAGAAGACCTTAAATAAGGACCTTCCTATGGCAAGAATGTTTTTCAGACCACTTATATTTAACTTCCGAATTTTGTCGAAAAGGAAAAGGCCGTTCTTCACCCCCTTATTCTCAAATAAACCACTTTTGNCTTCAATCGCGATTTCCCACAACCTGCCGAAATTAACATACGACAATCTTTTACCCAGACGACGATGTGTACTAAGAATTTTTTTAAACTCCATATTAGCTGTTTGGCATAAATAAAGTTAACTTCAGTTGAAGTTCTCAATAAACAAATGTAATTAACCGGCCGTCTTCCCTTGCTGGAAAATCTCGCTTGTGTTACGACCCATGCGAGCTCCCGCACATGTAGACCTCAAAAAGTACGAAACATACTTTTTCTCACATACTGAGCGGTTTGCAAGATCTCGCATACTTTCAAATATCAGTTTTGTTGTTTGTCAGGTATTTTCTCATGTCGCAGAATTCTTCAAAGTAAAAACATCGTTTATTTTGGTGGAAAATACCAATTTGGCCTGAAAAGCTCGAAACTTTTTTTTTGCGACATTTTACAAATGAAAAATTATGCTGTCAAATGCCAAGTCAACAAAACTCTATCTCGCTTGCGAGAGAAAACAGCAGAACGCAAGCGAGGTTTTCGAGCATGTGACGACGGCCGGTAATGTAATTAGGCAACCAACAATCTGGCAGCGCTGCGTCAAACGGAAGTCCATAACGGAATTCGAGTTTCCTTTCATTTGCCGCTCAAAAGAGATTTATTTTAATTAAAATACGTGAACTCAACTGCAATTCCGTGGTTTAAAATTCGATATTCAGTGAAATAAATGGTTTGTAGCCAATGCATAGTAAAAATATCGTGCGTAGCAAATTTTTATCAGTATTTTCAAAGCTAAATAAGTGTAAGCGTCCTTATTTCATAACGCGCAATTTGTGCGCGCGGTTAGTGAAGTGCAAAGTATCAAAGTAAAATAATGGAAAATCCTTGCAGGTCAAGTTATATATCGATATGTATGTATAATGTTTATTGTTAAAAATAGTAGTGCGAAGGAAGCCCTTGGAAATATTGTTTGGGTTTTTCTATTATTCAAGTGAAAATTCCTTTTAGAAAAGTGAAATCAATCGCGTTGAGATGCATTTTTGCCATTCAAAATGGCAGTATCAGATCACAGAAGCGGCTATGCATAATTGCGGTAAGTTTTTGAACTGCTAAATTTGTGCTAGGAAACTAGATTACCCTCGAATATAAAAAAGGAAAGGAAAGATAACAACCCAGCATACTTTGAACATACATTAGGGCTGGGACTAACTGTATATTCGGATGACCATCCTTTCGGATATTAGTTCATACGCATAAAATACGGATGTCCGGTTAATATCCGTTCATTTTGTTATCTGGATATTCGGGTACCCGGATATTTGAATTTTTCATTCAGATCATATCCGGATAAAAAATCCGAGTGTCTGAGACTCAATAGCATTTTTATCTTTATTCATTTACAGCCGGTTTCATCAGCAATTTAAATGGCATCTTTTGTTTTATGTCAATTTCCATATAAAATTCAAATAATTAAAGTCATTTTTCACTTAAATTGCTTTCGTGAAATTGGCTGTTAATCAATTCAACTGTTTATTCGCCTTCATTCCGTTTAAACAAATTTTAATCTCTTTTAAGCAGTATCATTTTACGCTGTTTTATTAAAATATACCCATGCATTTTTATTAACATTTTATTCGTCACTTGCCTTGCAAATTCTTTCTTTACCTAAAAAAAATTAAAATTGTTAAGCATTAATTTTATTACACTTCTATCTAAGAAGATTTCGTATTTGTGCACTATTTATGTATGCTTTATAAGTATGTATTATAAGTTTAATTGCTTATGTTAAGACATAATTTTTGCAATATTCCATCTCTTCGGCTTCATAAAAAAATAATTTTACTTTCATTTTAACACATTCGACTATTAGGATTTCAATGATTCTATTGAAAAATTAATAATTTAGTAAGAACTAGTAAATCAAGGAACATTTATTTTGTTATTATAGTAGCTGAAAATCCGGAAAAAAAATAAATTAATTCATTTAAAGTGTTTTAGACAGATATATTTGATTATATCCGCGCTTTGCGAGAACTCAAGTGGTAGTGAAAAAAAATCGCAGTTTTTTGTATTAACTGAAATTGTAAATAATATGATGTCATTTATATAAAATATTGATTCAATTTGATTTAAAATGTTAATTTAAAATTAGTACTTCCAATGCCTAGTAATTTTGCATTATAGTTAATAAAATTAAGTGGAATTACCATAAAAACTCTGCTCGAAAATTACACATTTATAGATTCAATGTGTTGTACATACATATGTGCGTAGCAACTCAGCTGTGTAAAGAATGTAAACATATACTAAATAAATTTAATCCACATTGATGGCAAACGCACAAGCGATTGTTGAGCGTTATCACTGAGCAGCTGCCAGAATATTGAAGTTGTGTAGTTGCCTAAGCTCCAAGCATTCCAATCCATCATATTCTCATGCTGCTTTTTCTTTTCTTGCTTTCGAGGGGACTGCAAATCATCCAATGATTGTAACCAATCGTCAAGCCTGCCATCCGTATACTTAACTTTGAGCGCAAACCAATTTCGTACCAAGTCTATACCAAAACGAGTAGTGTACCAGGCATTCTTTGATTTCTTATTTCCTCCAGCAATACGTTGCACTGCATCCGGTAATGTCAAGCGTGTTGAACTATCAATCTCATGTTGACGGCGACGTACTGCCTCCTGTTTTTCTTCTGCTCTATACTGGCATTCGAGTTTCAAAAGTTCTGCTTCAACATTTAAAGCTGTGCAGGTAGCATTGTGTACAGTTCCTTCGCCGATTGTTGTAGTTGTAGGAATTGCAGCCGATTTCGATATTTCGATCCCATTTGAGCGGCGTAGACGTGGTTGAGCATCCAGCAGAGTAGCCCGATAGTCAACAATAGGTGTCGATTGTTGAACTGCGATCTGACCACTAATTACTGCAGATATAGTTTTCCGATGTAGTGCGGTGCCTGGAATTTGACTGGCCAAAAAGAAGGCACCAGCTATGGTTATTACACTTGCGGCATAACTGACTGCCATCACAGCAATATTATTTAGTATAAACTTGACTAATGTAAAGGAGGGTAGCATTTGTATCAGCTCAGTGTAGGTTAGCCAGCCACGACGTAAACCTTCACGTCGAGCGAGTTGCTTCTCAATGCCGCTTAATTTCTCAAAAAATACTTCCTTCGATATGTATATATTCCAATCCTGCAGAGAAAAATGCGTCAGTATATTAGGAAATCTGCAAACCTAATTCACTTTATTAATACTTACTATAGCACACAGAAATTCCAATTCTAACTTCTTTAATTTTTTCTCAGTCAAATGCCCATCCTCAGCCCAATCGCTCAAATAGATTTCCTCATCATAGCCAGCATAGAATTTCGTCGATATCATCTGTAATATGCAAATATTATGTATTACCGAACAACAAATGAGCTTATAATTAAAATAGTTAAAGTTAGGTGATTGTTCAATGTTCTACTTGCTATTTGCCATTCCTTCGAACATTCATACACAAATACATTAGACTGCATCACTCCCCATACAAAAAAAAAAAATCGGTACTGCTTTTCCATTGAAATTATAAAATCTATTATATTTTAAGACGTCCACCAAAATATTTCGAAAAACTATTATGAAAAATGGAGTTTTTTATGAATATAAATAGTTTCTTAAAGATGTTTTTTGAAAAAATCCCTTCAAATGACAAAACGATTTAAGCTTAAAAAATTTACATAAAAATATTTAAAAAAATATATAAAAAAATTTTGAACGGAATCGTAATAATGAGGTTTTTGATGCTGTTTTTTAACTTTTTTCAAAGATT